AGGTTCTCCTGTTTAAAATTGCCCATTTGTATTAGGTTTTGCTAAGTATATGCAGATGCTACAGCTTGTAATTATTGTTAATGGTGGAGACCAGATACAATTACAATTGTATCTACAATTTGTATGTAATATGCTAAATTAAAGAATTGTTAAGTTTAAGAATTAATTGTGTCAATTCTAAAATTGTTGAATCATCTACAATTTGTATGTGATACAGTCAAGGGTAAATTTACTCTTGATATAGTAAATTCAAAAAGTGTTTATGTTTAATAATTAATTTTTAAATACAATATAAAAAATCACAAAACTGCAAATTTGAAATTTACAAAAAATTAAGACATGGAGTCATATCTATACATACAAGCCAGTTCAACTTGAAATGGTTCAGAAACCAGCTCAATTGTGTCCACACTTAAGGCCTTTCTACACTAGCACTTCTAATGCGCATTGAACTGGTTTGGAACCGGTTCCAGTAATTCCACACCTGATGTGCATTGATTTCAATGCACATTGACTTCAATGCGCATTAAGCCAAACCACCTCCATATGTGGTTTGAATGGCATTCAATAGATAACCAATGGCAGCTGGATCAGAAATGCTATCAAAATATACTTGATCCTGAAGATAGTGTGGAATCAATTGATGGGCATTCAATGTGCATCAATGAGCCGACTTCTGGAACCGGTTCAAGTGTAGAAAGGCCTTTAACTGCATGTGGTTGAATCAGTTTATAAGTACTACAGTGACCTTCACCTTACAAGAGACTGAAGGAGAGAGAGAGGGGAAGAAGGAAGAGAGAGAGGGGGGAAGAAGGAAGAGCATGGGCGGTTGCAGAAATTTGGTTTGACCTGGGCATCAATAATTAGTGGGTGTGGAGTGGGTGTGGTTTCATACAATTTTGCAAGGAAAATGGACAATACTGATCTATAACTTCATTGAGATGATTTCTTAGCATAAAACAACAAAGAAGCCTGTTGAACTACCACAGTTTGCACTGGATGCCCACACCAGAATCATGAATATAATTATTGGTCAAAAAGTCAACCTGGGCATTGCCCCCTAATGCCCAGGCCTGCAACCGCCTATGAGGAAGAGAGAGATAGGGGAAGGGAGAGAAAGAGATGGAGGGAAGTAAAGCCGGAGGGAGAGTGATGAAGGGAGAGAAAGGGACAATAATTATTGATTCCAATACATTAATAAAACAACGTACAATTGATTTTTGTTTCCTGTCACATGATAAAAAATAGGCCACGCCCATTCCATAGCAGCTGTAATGACTTACTGGTATAAAAACCAGCATCACCTGGAACAACACACAAACAAACATCATTAATAAAATAATATAATATTATCATTTTACCTATTATACTGTATTAAAATAATAATATACACACATTAACTGACTGACTGTGTTTATTATTAGGAGAAGAGACTGGAAAGGTGGAGTGGACCAGTTATAGTGTAACCCTCACTAAACCATCAGCATGCAGGTCAATGTCAGGAAGTGATCAGTCAATTAACGGACAGTCATCAGAACATTTTCCTCCGTCACTCATCACCTGATATTGTATACTTGATGATGTCTCAAGTACTAGACATAAGAACAATAAAGGAGATTGGTATAATTAATACTAAAATAACGAAAGATGTCATCCTCTCACTGTCTCACAAAATAACAAACAATACTTCATTAGAGACACTAGGGTTCAGCTATGACTCCATCAATGATGATGGAGTCAGTGCACTAACACAATCATTAATTAATAATAAAACAATTACTGGCTTATATCTTCATAACAATCCTGACATCACTTCAACCAGTGCTCAGTCACTAGCTGAACTTTTACTCTACAACCACACACTATCTTTCCTTTCTCTCGACGGTACTAACATTGATACTGATGGAGTACTGGTATTGATGGAATCTCTCAGGACGAATAATACACTAAGAGGACTATGGCTAGACAAGAAACATAAACAAACTTGTTCTTCTTTACCTTATTATAAAACTATTGAAAAAAAATTAGTCTTTGAGTAATTATTTCATGTACATTATTAGTTTATTAATAAATTATAAAGGAAAAAATTATTTTAAAATGTACGTGCTGCCAGAT